CCCTACACAGTGAAAAAAATGATTATTTCATATTTCCCATGCAGTAAAAAACCAAAATTATCTCACATTTCTACCTGTGCATTGTTGAAAAAGGAATCAAAAAAACAGAATCAAAAAAAATACACTTGTCAAGGAAAAATCTCACAAAATTCAAACATATGTTTAAAAATTCAAAAAAACTCTCATAAATGCAACCGTTTTTCTTTATGTTTTAGTTGCAGTCTTCCTTCTCCAGCACATCAGTAAGCCATCTATTTTAGTCTACTTTCTTCTCTCATCATGCTTACCATACCCTCCTCTACACCAGTTATATAATTATGGTTGCTCTGCATGTTGTTCTCCCATCGTTCCTCTGCTTTATTGCTTTACTCTATTATTATCTCTGAAAAATAAATAAAACATATGCTTTTAATTAGGAAAAAAAAGAGGATTTACCACTTCCTCTCCTGCCTTCTTTGCAGAGTCCAGTCATTTAATTTTAAATGTACTCACTGTTGCAGCCATTGCTGCTTGTAGTCTCAACGAGGTTGGCACTGCACTCTGACGAACTCCTCCGTGGAACGGAAGCTTTCCTGACCATAAGAAACAAAAAAGAGAGACAATAGGAAAAAAAAAAACACAGAGTGAAAAAAGTTTTCAGAGAGTGTATCAAAGAAGATACACATTAGCTGAATGATGCTTCCACCAAAAAAAAAAGCAACACAGATCTTCTGCAGTTACATTTGAATTAATACTCCTAATTTCTGAGAAGTGGGTAGCTGAGGAAGAACAACAGGGATCAGAGGCAGGAACAGGACTCAGAACTACACAGCTTCCCTCTTGGAGTTAATATGTTCCTGTTCTAGTCTGATTTCTCAGGTCTTTATTATTTAATTAGTAGATAGCACAAAATTCTTTAATTTATCATTAACTCTCTTATATTTGGAAAGGAAATGTGAATAATGTGATGTTTTCCACACTTTCTCCAGGAGAAACAGCTCTTTTAAATAGAGCTGATCTCTCCCTTTCTCTTTCTCTCTTTCTTTTAAAAGCAATTAGACATCTGCTGGCTTGAGAAGAGCCATGAGCTAGTCTCCTTTCTGTCCAGTTTGTGTCCTGTGGTGGTATAAACTCCTCCACAAAGTCTGTTGTCTTGGATAGCTCAAATAGCTTTATTCCTAGACCCCGTTGTTTTCACTGGCTGAGTTCCTGTTCGTTGAATATACACTTATCTCGCAAGTAATTTGCCCTTTCAACATGGACTTATAATAAATTACATAAATGAATTACAGATGTATTGTAGTTTTCCCTAGGGTTTTCTCCACCCCTCTAAGCTGTGCGCTTCACATTCAAGCCTCTCTCTCTATTTTTTTTAATAAAAGCTATTTCGCGTGGAATCTATACTAGATTAATCAGCTGCCTTCTTATGCTTTTTCCAGTAACCCTTGTACAATCTTCTGGAGAAAGAAGGCCAGATGGACCTGTACTGACATGTGAATTGCTCATAGCAAAATCTGCCATTTGTTAGCTCAGTAACAATGTAATAGCAGGGATTTTGAAAACTTTCCTATTTTCCCCAGGACGCAACAGTAAGCTTTATTAGTGCCGTCTGTTCGGGGGTAGGAGGGGAAGGTGTGTTTTGTTTGGGTATGTTCCAGTATAGAGAGCAGCTAGATCTGGATTTGTGGATGAAATCGGGAGACGAGAGTACAAGGACTCTTCTCTGCCTCCATACACTCTGCTCTGCTAATGTGCTAAGAAGCTTCTGGGCCTAAAGATGCAGTGCACCATCCTCCAATCCAAGACATTTTTTTTCATTGTTAAGTATAAAATCACTCTCATGAAACCAATTCTCTGATTTAAAAAGCTCTAAGGGTATGCTTTCATACTGTAAATATTTGACTATCTTCTCTAAAATACCATTGTTGGCAGGATGCCATATCTTCTTGTGAATCGCTGTAGTTAGGAATAGTTTAATGTGCTCAGCTTTTAGATGAATGTAGCAAACAGACTTGAGCATGCTCTTCAAAGGTTAGGAATCCTTCTTTGACAAAGACGAGACTTTTATTGCCTATGAAACAGTACCTTCCTGGAGAGAGCTTGATAAAGTAACATAGGCAGCCAAAGTACTAAACTGGCTTTTACATTATTTTTGGGTGCAGAGAGGAGACTTCTTATGAAGATATAAAATCATTTTACAAGATTCATCTTTCTGGTGAGACATAAAAATATAGTGTTTCTTTGTGAATATTAAAGATTCCTCGCTGTTTTTTCCTTGAGTAAGTAAATTAAAACTACTCACTACAACCTAAGTAGTTATATTCGGGCTTCCTGAGACTCACTCAGACAGTTCTGGGACCTGTCAGCATTTTTACCACCATGCTATTAGCCTCTCTGATTACCCTGCTGCCTAGCATCGCCCAGAAGAACAAGGTCTTTGCCAGGACACATGTAGGTGCTAGCACTGTAGCTCTCCACTACTGCTGTTGCTGCCCGTGTCATAGGTTAAGGCAAGAGCAGCTACAGTAGGAAAAGCACTGGAGAAAAGCAGTGCAACAGCCTCAGAATTTCAGTTCCGTAGCATCTTTCCTTTCTACACAGTGCCAGTGGACTGTGTTATGACTTTCCATCCTAAATATTTGACCTGTGTATTATGCACAGGTAAACAGCTGCAGCCTTTTTCTTAGTGCTAGCTTGACTTGCAGAATTTAAGTGTGCAGTGTCTTCATTGTGTGGAAGAAAGGAAAGTCAGATTCAGTTCACTGTTTCAAAAACCAGTTTGGATGTCTAAAATGCCAAAAGGCAGAATTCAGAAGGCTCTTCACCCAAAACAGCCAAGCTATCTTTAATGGACATGACTGGCTGAAATAGAATTACCTGAACTTCATCAGCTTCTATGCTAACCTGCTAAAGCAAAGAGCAAAATTTCTAAGGCCTTCAGAAGGAGAGAGTATAATAGTATAAAAGTAGAGCTCCATAATGGTTCATAGCCAATGAAAAGTCCACAGCATTTCACAGTTCATGTTAGTATAAGCAGATGGGGAGAAAGGACCCCACTTCCCTCTCTCCTGGAAAGGTGACCAAGCCGATACCTAAAACTTAGGGGCAGTGTAAAGGCTGCTCTCATGTTGTACTCTATACAACGGCTCTATTTTTCCCAGTTCTGAGCTGCCTTTTTTCAACATGGTGGTCTTTGACTACTTCTAAATTTACTCTTTCTTTCCCCTCCCGTTCACTGCTGTTCCTTTCACTCAGATCTTCTGTTGCTTCCCTCTATATTTCTCTCTACATTCCACCATTCTCTGCCTCTAGCCATGTCAAATACTGCCTGTTTCTTCATCATCTTTGATTCTGTCTTACTATCCTTCATCCTTCTCCTGGTAGGTTCCCCTTCCCAAACCACGTCCTCCTGATGAATCCTAGTACATAATCAAATACAAAATGAATCCAGCTTAACAGGAGATTGCTGGCAGCCTAGAAAAATACATTCTTGTTTATTTTTATAGAAAATATTTCCAGATGTGGCTGATAAAAATGTGATGACTCAGCTAAATATGAGAACTGTTTCCAACTGTTTGCCCAGATCTCTTCCTATGCAGCCCTTCTCTTTTATAAGCTACTTTCACCACTACTTGTGATAGAGCTTTAGAAATAGAACAATAATGAAAGCCTTTCACCCCATCCTGGTCTGCTGCATGGGTGTGTTTGTAGAGAGCACAAAAGTCTCTCACAGATCTACTGCACCCACGCATGCCTGGTCCTGAAATCTGCCACAGAAGCACGCAGCCTGAGAGGGAGAAAACAAACGGTGTCTCTGTCCCCTGAGGGGGATACAAGTGGTGGCAAGGACAAGAAATTAGAGCATCAATTTCCTAAATTATAACACAGATTTGATGTATTAATTTAAGGATTCAATTTCTCGATACTAAGTTGCAACTAATATTTCTTCTTCCTTTGCAACCTTCCAGATTTTTTTTACTATTTATACTAAAAACACTCTTATTACTGTTTATACTAAAACACTCTCTAATCCTCTGCTGAAAGAGGCACAGAAATGCTTACAATATGGTAAAAAAACCCTACACTTTCTGATTCTGGATCAAACGTAATATTTGTTAATAAAGTGTAATAGTGGAAATCTGATAGCACAATATTTCTCTAATACTTATAGTTTAATATAGCCTGTCAAGAGGACAAGTCAAGGATGACACAAACTCTCAGCTAACCCTTACAAGCCCCAGTTCCACATCCTTCCAGAATTATATGATACAGGTGGTAGGCCAGATTTGGGGAAACCTGAAGAGAATGTTATTAATCACAGCTGTTAACAATAACCCTTGCTTATACAGCTCAAGAGATGGAAGTAGATTTAATAATCCACTTTGCAAATACTCTGATATACTGGTCACCTCAGTCAAGAGATAAGGGTTTTTCAATGGAAAGAGTTTCTTCTACAGACTCCCAAGCAGAAGATGAGCTATATGATGCTATATTAGACTTCTGAAGCTTAAAAGGTAAGACAAGATAGTTTTTAGACAGTTATGTTCTTTTTCTTTATGAGTAGACAAATTAATCATAGCATTGTGAGATTTCCCAAGCTAGTGTGGTATGTAAGCTAGATTCAAGGGGGCTATGTTAAGATTGAGTTGCTGCCCTTTTTTATTTTTCTAGTAGAAAGGTTAGTAAAAAGGTTCACTACTTGTTCTGCCAGTTATATAAAGCCTGAGTAAACAGACCTCCTATAAGGAAATAGTTTGAGGTTCACCTTCCAACTGTGCAGTAGAAGACTTGCACAGGCCTGTAATTGCTGTTATTCTAAGCTTCTGTACTTTGCTGTGCAAGGCTCTCACCATAAAACTCTGGAGAGCATGTCTCTAGCCTTCCCCTAATCTTACTGTATACAAGAGGAAAGGAGTCTTGTAATAGATTAGTCTCTTTGTGTTCTCTGCTCTTCAAAATTTTTTCTTCTCTTCTCAGAGACAAGCTTTACCTCTAAAGAAATACAAACAGTTATAAGATCTTTATATGAAGTATTCTAAGTTGGTTAAAATTATATTATATTCCAGTAACTTTATAGTGATCTATAAATGTTCTCTTGTTAATAACTGCTCTGCATTGCTGATAAAACTGGATTAACTTATTTAAAAAAAAAAAAAAACTCTACAAAGGTTGGGGTATCCTCTACAACAACTTTTTTGATACAAAAATCTCTTTTATCAGATATTCTTGCTCTCTTCTAATTGTATTCAGTTATGGGGAAAAACTGGCTTTCAGTTGGTTTCCATGACAGCAGCTGAAGTAAAACCAGACTGGCTATTTCAAAGGTCACTTGTTGAAAGGCACTGATCAGGAGAGGTTGAGTTGGCAATGTGGTTATGGGAGAGTGAGGAATAGGGAATTGCAAGAAGTACAGGTTATCATAACCAAGGAGACATGTAGTGAGGGAGTACTTTGAGAGCCTAGGAGCTGTCATATGTAACAGGAAGAGGCTGTAAATCTGTGATGGTTAATAATTAGAGGGGCTACTAAGCTGTCTTGTAACATGTTAACAATACTATGAGGATATAAACTCTTGCAAAAAGTACTGTAATCCAAAAATAAGGCAGGACATAGGAGGTTGACTTCTCTACACAAATGCAGACAGTAAGTCAAAACAGTAATATTAATGAGGTCCTAATGAGTTTTGCTTGTCCTCCTTAGGACCTGGCAAGGTTTGAGCTGGGTATCTAAGAGTCTACCAATAACCTTCTGTAAATAAGTGAATGTTTGAGTGCAAACAATATTATTTTATAACACTGTACTAACAGCCTGTTGCAGTTCTCTAACTTGCACTCTTTCAATGGTATAGCTATGCAAGCAAATTATCTTGATGGAGATGCTGGATGGTGTAAGCGTACTAATTCCCTGCTTTAAAAAAGCTACAGCAACAAATAGATTAGCTGGTTGTCTTGATCCCAATAGCTGCTTATATATTTTCATTTGAAGCCCTAAAACTCTACCACAAATGAACTATGGCACTAGCACTGATATTCTCATGCACCTGAAAACAGTAGCCTAGATCATCCTGGATACGTGAATCAGCCTTTGGATTTCTTATAATTGTTAGTTACTTACGTGGGAATTATGTTTATTGAATTTGATTCTCTTTAAAGTTTTCCTTTTCAAACTAGGAGCTGTAAAGGAATTGGGAGCTAATGACACCCGCATGGTTTGGCTGCCAGTACAATTTAGTAGAACCGTTTCTCATTTCTAATCACTCCAGCAATTTGCTTCTACTTTTCCATCTTCAGACTAATGCTTTAAAATGTTAACCCTAAAGCCAGGTATACTATAAAAAAAAAAAAAAAACTCAGAAAAGGGTGCATTACAAATTTTTTTTTTTTTTTTTTAAAAAGCAACTCTACGTAGTAGCTTAGAAAAGGTATTTGGAAAACTACAAGGCAGCAAGTAAAGCATTACAGGCAACAAGTTGAGAAATCCACATTAATTATGCTGAATAACTACACAAACCTTATGGATAATTCATTGCATAGTTTTACATTCAAATAATTAGTACGTGATTACCAGAAGAAATTTCTACTTGATTGAATAGCTTCAGCACTCTGAAGCACTTTTACCTGCAAAGGAAGTAGAATGCTCCAACTGCAAGAACGCCTAGAAGAACAATGGAAGCCAAGAAAACTGCAAACAGGTCACCTTTTGTTTGGGATTTAATGCTGGGTAGCAGAACTTCTTCACAACGGGCTCCTGTGTAATTCTCAACACACCTGGGAAACCAAGGTTTATATGGATTAGCATGTACCTTGTCTTCTAATATGAAAAGCATAAGGCTTCTTCTGGTTGTAAGTGGGAAGAAGAGAACCTCCTGTGATGGCATAATTCAAATTTGTATTTGCTTCACAACAAGTTTCCTTATGGAATTTCCATTTGCATCATATTTCCAGAGCAAAGGGCATTGGACCTGTTACTATTTAATTTCATATTCTGTTCCATGCTGCTTTTGTATGTTAAACTATCTCTCTTGCTAATCCAGTGTCTATATTAGTAATGTACATGATGAACTTCACAATTAAATCCATCTCCTCCACAGGATTTTTGATTAAATCCACCTTTTTGGTGTTAGCTGCCTCATCTCACTGGCTCTCGTGTCAGATACAGGAGTCATGCTTTCTTTTCCTCCTTTCCTGTATTTTTTTACATTTCCTCATAAAGAGCTAATACTGTCAGTTATAATAGATTGAGGAAATGGGAATTCATGGACACAAGGTGCACATAAAACACTTAACAAATTGCAAAGGCAGTTATGCTGGTGGTTTATGTGGTGAAATAACTCATTCCAAAGCATATCACGTGCTGATGAAAGGCCCTGTCTAGACAGACCTAGCTAAAAGGTTTCCCTCCAATGCCTGTCTTGGGTATCAAGCTTCTGAAAGCCTCTCCTAAAGGAAGGATTCACTCTATATCAGAAGATGCAGAGGAAGCAAAAATTCCCACTGCGTTAAGTATTGAAGGCAGTGGGGGGCAGGGGGAGGAAGTGTCTTGGACACCTGTACCTATTGAGGTGTTTGCATAGACTCGTGCATACAGACATAAAGCAGCTAAGTCTGCAAGAAGCAACAACAGGAAGATTTGACTGAGGGACAGAGGCTAGCAAGACTCCTAGAGAACAGAACAACCTACTGGCAAAGCAACTGAATCGGCAAACTAAGTGTTGGTGGGATTCATCCAGTCCAGACTGAAGCAGTCTGTGACTGTAGCGTGATGTCTATAACTGAATTCCAACAGAAGTAAACCAGCGGCACAAAGCGAAATGAGACTACGGTCTAGAGAAAAAGGTTGATGGTGTATGTTTTGTTTGTATGATCTGGACTAGCCATTGCCAGAGCTACTTTTGGAGATGAGACTGTAAATACCCTACCTAAAGCAATTAGGGTGCTGTGAAAAGTATGTTTGCAGGTTGAAAGAGCCCTCGGGACAAGATGGCATCCTGCTTAGACATTCAGATAACGATGCCTAAACTTAGCTCAGGAGTTGAAAGGCAGAGACAAGGAAGATGCTTTACTGCTTGTCATTAGGGGAGAAAGAAGAAAAATCTTCACACCAAGAAGGTCTTGCATGGTGAATGTGTAGCTTGTGCCAAGCAAAAGGGTTTGTCATGCATAAAGTTAAGCACATCTACAGTGGAAACACTGGATGCACATATCAATGGTGTCGTAAGATGTGGATTATTGTTTTACGAAGCTTTCAACTTGGACGTAATTTTCAGAGAATGAACTACCTTTTCCCCTGCAGAAGATTCTGATTTGCCTCGGAGCTCAGTTTCAGCTACTCGGTTACCCAGAGCTGGATGATGATTGAGCCCTCTGACAATGCCAGGTTATATAGTAAATCCATTGGTTCTGTTGCCTGCAGTGATGGCCCCAACAGTTCAAGGGCAAACCTTGCGGCATGTGAAAGAATAGGGCCTAAAACTGCATGCTGTGTAGAAGTCCTGATTAAATGAATAGCTATTAATTAGAATTCAAACTGAATGGAGAAAGTTGCTTTATATCTTAGGTTGAGAATGACTACTGAACAACAAAAGCACAATTTTATAGATTTGATTAGTGAGGAATGTCAATATTGAGGATAAACAGAAAAAATAATCATTTTTAATATGAGATCTCATTTCTCTGCACCAAACTTACAAACACTTCCTCTGTTCCAAGTTCTGTGTTCACAGACCTAAGAAGATTTAAACCAGCAGTCTGGTCTTGGACCTGGCTGTCTGGGGATAGGGATAATCATAGACTTTTCTTTCCTATGAACACAAGCATTTGTAACTTATTCTAGCATGGTAGGCAATAATACCATTTAATACAAGTATTCACTTAAAGGTCAGAAAGTTCCAGGTTAAAAATCTACTATCTGGATTGTCCTGTCAAGGAACAAACCATCTAGATATGAATCAAAGTATCAAAATATTCTCATTGGAACTAGTGTCTTAGACAGATAAAGAATGCTGAGCTATTGGAGTATAAGAAGTGAAAAGGTATAGAAAGATCTGTCTCTTTCTCTGTTAATTATTGTACTATTGCATAAATACTCCATGTTTTATTTTCATTGCATATATTCAATTGAAGCACGTTCATGAAAGAAATAGAACTTGGATTCTTAAGCATAGATATCAAGTGATGATGCTTTTATTTCTGTATGGCTAAATTATACTGTCCAGGCAATGTGTTTGCATTTGATCACTTTTGCTTTCACCTGAGTGTAGACTTGTGAAAGGAGAACTGACTTCTGGAATTATACAAGTAATTCCTCAGTAATGCATTTACAAAACACTTGACTAGTAAAAGTCTTTTAAAAAAAAGACTTAAAATTCATCTTGGACTTGCTGATTGTCTCCTGCATGTTCTTGTTCTCTCATTTGAATTATGACCCATTTTAATGGGCAAGTCATAAGGAATAGTGTAAAATCTCAATTATGACAGGTTATATGAGGGAGGAAAAAGCCCAAATTCTGCTTTTAATGAGACCAGTAATTCAAATGTTTGCAGAATGTATATTGATATCATGTCAGTGAAACTGGAGACTTCATTTGTTCTTCACATGTTATAGCTTAATGTAGAGTCAGTTTCCATTCAGGATTGGATTGACTTGTAAAGTGGAGGGGTTAAAGAGCATGTAGCTCCCTTAGAAAGTTGCAGCGCAGCATTTCTTCTAGTCAGGTAGGGTGCCTACTGGACACTAGTCTTAGGCTTACCTTACTATGAAAAGACTCGTATCCTACACCGTAATCAGCGGACCTAGACCTGAATTCATCACAATAAATATAGTCCTTTACTATAAAAATAAATGAATGGCTTACTCAGTAATTCATAGTGAATCAAAAATATGTAGGTAGAAGCTAAACTAATCTTCACTTGTCTTACACTTCTCACTTGTTCTGATAAGTTTTCTTAAGGAATTCACTGCACCATAGAAAATGGAAAGCATTTCATCCAACCGCTGCATTCCCCATGTATCTTTATGTATGTAAATTTGTTTCCATCTATTTCTATTAGCAAGAAGGAGCAAGATCTTTACTATGTTTGGCACTAAAGTCATGACAATCTAACATAAGCAATTTCAGGCTCCAGCTGAGGGAAATGGGCTAAACTCTGTTACAAAGTTCTCAATTGCTATTGGCAGCTGTCCGGTACAGTTTCAGATGAGGGACAATAAGCACGTGGGGAGAAACTGTCAAAAAGGCAAGATCTCTAGCATAGCTAAACCAGACCAATGGATCACTGTGAGCATACTACCACACATGGTTGATACAGCTCCCAAACGACCTTCTGTAGCTTATGGACTATTGTTTCAGTATTACGGGTCTAAACTATTGCACAGAGAATTACTACCATTTCTCTTAATACCTTGCCTTTGAAAATAAGATGGAGGATTTGGACAATTTGTTGGAAAACCTGGATATAATTATCACCACATTAAAGCTATGTTACTGATCAAACACCCACTTCTTAAGGACAACATGAGACTTCTCAGAGTTACTACATCTGACTGCTGGGAGAAGGAAGGGTAGGCAGGCTGTGCTCTGATTGCCTGAGATAATGTTTCAGATATTAACTGTAAGTATAGTGGCATTTCAGTGGCCTATGTCTGAAATACCTGTAGACTATTTTAAGAATAGAAATGTAGTTTGAGTGGTGCATTGTTCTCTAGCAAGTGAGAGAGAAATGCTTTACAGAGCTGAATAGAAAAACAGGAATAGAAAATGGAATATAAAATTCATACAAGTATTCTTGAATACCAATGAAAACTGGGGAATGAGAGGCTAAAATGGTAGGAGAGGAAGAAATAAATAGGTTTTGGCATCAGACTAAAGCATATGGAAAAGTTCTAGAGAATGAGCATAAAGAGAAGGAAGTCAGTGGGCTAAAGGACAAATGAAGCAGGAGGAAGAAGAGACAACCTTCCTAAGCAGAAGAGTTGCATGGCCAGGATTAGGGTTAAAATATTAGGGTTGTAGAACTACTATCCATGACAGCTCAGCCTACAGTATCACAGTCCATGGAAGCAATAATCTTGTTCTGTTACAGACCATGGAAAAAATTGAGAATGTGATGAACGGTAAAGTAAAAAGCTCACTAAGAGTGTAGCCACTTTCTAATAAATGGAAAACAGAACCAGAACCTAAGGGTCAGTCATGAGCCTTCAAAAGGCAAAGGAACCAGAAAGTCTGGGATTTGAGGGGAAAGCTATAGCCAATACGAATACAAAGCTATAGCAGAAGAAAAAAAGGCCTCTGCTAAAAATGCAGACAGCTCCAAGATCGTGGATGCTGACAGTGGTTCTAATACGAATCTGTTAATTTTTCCTGGATGCAGCCTAACCAAATTTTAAAAATATTTTTCTTGACTTGCCACTTTACAGTAACTGGTTAGCAGTGTGCTATGGAATTGATTAGGGATTACACAGCTACTGGTCTATAATGTCTCTAGGATGAACTATTGACACACTCACTCATTATGACTATTGTGACTCTACCAATAGGGTCTTCTATTGTACAGTCAGGGCAATTCTAAAAATGAACTTGTTCAAATACTAGTTTGCACAAGATTTTATGAAGTCATCAGTGCAGATGTACGAAAGAGGTGAAGGGCTATACTAAATATAAAAGCAACAAATGCTTCAGACAGTCAAGAGAGGGAAAGGTTTCTACTGAAATGCTTTACTGAATCTGTTAGGAAAGAAACTAAGCAGACTTCAAGAATAAGCAGGAGCA